GACAAAGATTTGTCCTGACTGTGGGCAAAGCAGGAAAACTCTAGCTACAGTGGAACAATCTCTGTACACTGTAAATAGGTATTACTCTTATTGGTTTAAAAGAGCTGACTAGTTTAAAAGAGCTGGGAAGGAAGAGACTGGGTGGGAGAGCCAGACTAGGAGGATGCTGGGAAGAAGGGCAGAGTCTCAGAAGTTGCCAGGAGATGAAGAGGGAGCAAGACATGCTCGAGGACAGGCAAAGCCTGAGCAACGTGGCAATATATAGATTAATAGAACGGTTAATTCAAGTTGTAAGAGCTAGTTAGTAATAAGCCTGAGCTATTGGCCGATCATTTGTAATTAACATACGCCTCAGTGTGTTTATTTGGGAAATGGCTGCTGGGAGAGGAAACCTCGGCCTACACTGACCCATCTCTCCAATTCTCATTTTGTTGTTTTGAGACAAGAGCTTACTATGTCACTTAGGCTGACCCTGAACTCCTGGACTCAAGAAATTCTCTAGCCTGAACCTGAAAGCTAGGAATACAGGCCCATGATACTCTGTCCAGCTCCTAATGGTTCGCTTTTGTTTTTGGTTTTTGTTTTGTTTTTGAGACAGAGTCTCTACTTTGTAGCCCTGGCTGGCCTAGAACTCACAGAGATCCTCCTGCTTCTGCCTCCCAAGTGCTGGGACTAAAGTTGTGTGCTACCACACAACTTTATTGGTTCTTAAAGCACAATTTCTAAAGCAATTCATTTTTTTGTTTTGTTTTTTATTTTTTTTTTCCCCAGACAGGTTTCTCTGTGTAGCCTTGGCTGTCCTGGAACTAACTAACTAACTAACTTTCCCTCCCTCCCTCCCTCCCTCCCTCTCTTTCTTTCTTTCTTTCTTGTTTTTGTTTTTCAAGACAGGGTTTCTCTGTGTAGCTTTGTGCCTTTCCTGGATCTTGCTCTGTAGACCAGGCTGGCCTCGAACTAACAAAAATCCTCCTGTCTCTGCCTCCCGAGTGCTGGGATTAAAGGCGTGCGCCACCACTGCCCAGGCTAAAGCAATTCTTAAACTCTTATTTGTTATTAAAATAACAAATTATCTGTCACCTATCATGAGGAAATATAAGCACCAAGAATACTAAAGTCCTCTGAGAAGCAGACATTGAACACACGCGACTGTCTACACCAACCACAGTGAACTGCATGGGACACTCAGCCCAACAGAGCGAAAAGACAGGAAGAAGTCCCCAATGGTGTGGAAGCCCATGCCTGCTGTCCCACTACATGACAAGTGGCCTGGGGAAGAGGGGACAAGCACTCTGTGGTCCCCTTTCACACACATCACTCTTGTAGTGTCAACACTTGTCCTGTCAAGTCTGACCCGGTCGCTGGGTTCTGTGGCTCACCAACCTTCTCAGCCATGGCGTCCATGTAGTCCTGCCGCTGGTACTCTCTCCGCCGCAGGTGCCTGTACACGTGGAACTCTCCACTGCCAGCCCCGGCACTGGAACCTAGAGCCAGAGAGGTCTAAGTGAGCTCTGTTACCAGGCCTGGGCATTGAACACACAAGCAGACCATCAGCCTTCCAGGCACAGGTCCTGATTTAATCTCCAGGACCACAAAAGGGAGGGAGGGAGAAACCAGGAGAGGAGGAGAGGAGGAACCCATTTACCAACACAAGGCGCACTTAACCCCAAGAGGCCAGAGACAAGAACTCAAACTGAAGGTACTGTATGTACTGGGTCTCTCTATGTGTAGTCTAGCAAGGACAGCATGTGGCCCATGGTAGACATTATTAAATGACTTGTATGAATACTGGAAATGAAGTCACTGGAAATCCCACTCCAAGCTAACAGTGGTGGTACAAGACTATGATCCTAGTACCCAGAGGCTGAGGCAGGAGGACTGAGAGTTCAGGGGCAGCTTAAGCTACACAACAAACCCTTGGCTCAAAACAAAACTTCTATATGACAGCAGGAGCAGGAGCAGACTGTGGTTTAACAATCAGCCATCTAGAAAGGACTCACGGCTTCCCTCAGGATTTCACAAGTGACCAGCTAGATTCCTAACAGTTCAAAAAATGCTTCTGATACCGCAAGTGAAAAGAAGTGAATCACAAAAACATCTGAATAACTATACAGAGACAGTGAAAACATAGGGTTGCCATAGCACGAGGGACAGAAGGAAGACAAGTCAGTCAATGAGAGATGGGGAGCTGTCGATTGTTCATTTGGGTAAACTGCCATTTGAATATCAGACCTAGACAGAGAGCTGACTGACCGTGTCTAGTTAGCCTTGAGGTAAACTGAGGCATAAGGAAGGAGCACACACAAGTCAGCAGCAAACCTGAGAAGAAGCCAAGCCTTTTCTCCACCTGGTTCCATTATGTCCTCTGTTTGTATGCATATGTAGGTGTCTGTGTGTGCACACGTGTGTGCGTGCGCATTCGGGGGGAGACCAGAAGAGGGCTGATCATTGTGCGGGCTAGTTTAATGTCACCTTGACACAACTACAGTCATCTGAAAGGAAGAAATCTCAATTGAGAAAATGCCTCCATAAGATCTGGCTGTAGGGCATTTTCTTAATTAGTGATTGATG